ATGAATGCTAGAGTCATTCACTGTATTACAATTTTAATACATTTTTTTCTCTCTTAAAATGTGTATACATTTTTTTGGCACCCTGTGTATAAAGAATGCATATAATTCAATAGCCAAAAAAACCCTAAACAAACCATAAAACCATCAATCCAATTAAAAATAGAGGATCCGCATAGAAAATTTTCCAGAAAAGACATACAGATGGCCAACAGGTACATGGAAAGATGTTCAACAGCACTAATCATTATGAAAATTCAAATCAAAAGCACAATGAGGTATCACCTCACACCTGTTAGGATGGCTATTATAAAAATTACAAGAAATAACAAGTGTTGGCAAGGAGGTAGAGAAAAGGGAACTCTTGAGCAGTGTTGGTGGAGATGTAAATTGGTAAAGTCACTCTGGAAAACAGTACAGAAGTTCCTCAAAAAATCAAAAGTAGAACTACCATATGATCCTGCAAGTCCACTTCTGGGTATTTGTCCAAAAAAAGTGAAAACACTAACTGGAAAAGATATATTTACCTCCGTGGTCATTGCAGCATTATTTACAATAGCCAAGATATGAAAACAACCTAAGTGACTATTAATGAATGAATGGGTACAGGACATGAGGTGTGTATACTCATATATACAATGAATATGATTCAGCCATAAAAAGAAAATTTTGTCACTTGTGACAACCGATGGACTTTAAGTGAAATAAGTTAGAGAAAGACAAATACCATACGATCTCACTTATATGTGGTATATAAAAAAACAAAACTGAGCTCAGAGATAGAGATCAAACTGATGGCTGCCAGAGGCATGGGGTCAGTGGTGGGTGAAATGGGTGAAGGGAGTCAAAAGGTGCATCCTTCCAGTTATAAAATAAGTAAGTCATGGAGATATAAAATATAGCGTGGCAACTACAATATATTTCATATGAGGTGTGATAAAAAAATATGGTGAATGTTTAAATAAAAAAAATTATTACAGTAAAAGGCACATTGCTATTAATCCCCTCAAAATACCCCCCTAGCATTGAATGCCCTTATCCCACCGTTCTTGCCACTTTCTGAAGCAGCTCTGGAAGTCCTCTTTTGTGAGTGTCTTTAGTTGCGCTGCCGTAGCTGCCTTGATGTCCTGAATCGATTCAGAACATTTTCCTTTCATGGTCATTTTGACTTTGGGGAAGAGCCAGAGTCACATGGTGCCAGATCCAGTGAATAAGGTGGATGAGGACACACTGTAATGTTTTTATTTGACAGAAGTTGCCATATATCAGAAGCGATGTGTGACACAAAGCGTTGTCATGATGGAGGATGAAGTAAAGAAAGACACTCAGGAAAGAGGACTTCCAGAACTGCTTCTGAAAGTGGCAAGAATGATTGGATAAGGGTGTTCGACGTGAAGGGGAGTATTTTGTGGGGGATCAATGGCAATGTATCTTTTACTGTAATCAATATTTTTTTTAAAAAATTTGTATTTATTCATTTATTTTTTATTTGGGAATTAAGGGAGGGAAACAGCATTGGGGAATCGGGGAAGGGGAACAGACAAGTTGCTGTCCTTTTGTTCTTCAATCTAGTTGTAGAGGACGTTGCTTCACTGGCCCATGTTGGTATTATCATTGCGCTCTTCCCTGGTGAAGCAGTCACTTGCCGGCCATTGGATGGCGGCTCACGGCGGCTCATGGCAGCTCACAAAAGTTCATGCCAGCTGCCGGCCAGCCCCACTGCAGCCTATGCCGACGCCAGTTGCTCACAGCAGCCCAGCTTCAGGTCAAGCTGTTGTTCACCATCTTAGCTGTAGAGGGCGCAGCGTCACTGGCCCGTATGTGGGATCTGAACCGGGGTCCAGCTGCTCAGAGATGGCATCCCAAGCCAACTCCTAACCAACGCGCCACTCGGCCGGCCCATAAATGTTTTATTTTAAATACTCATTGTATTTCTTGATCACATCTTGTATTCCAACTACCAGTATGTTACACCTTTTGTAGTTGTCCCATAGTTCTTGGGTATTCTATTTCTTTTTTTCTCCAATATTTTCTTCTCTTTGCTTTTCAGTTTTGGAAGTTTCTATTGACATATCCCCAAGCTCAGCTATTCTTTCCTTAGCTGTGTACAGTTTACTACTGAACTCATCAGAGGCATTCATTATTTTTGTTACAGTGCTTTTAATTTCTAGCATTTCTTTTTTTTTTTTTTTAGAATTTCCATCTCTCTGCTTACATTACCAATCTGTTCTTACATGTTGTCTGCTTTTCCATTGGAGCTCTTAGTAGATTAGTCATAGCTGTTTTAAATTCATGGTCTGATAATTCCAACATCCCTGCCATATCTAGGTCTGGTTTTGATGCTTTCTGTCTCTTCAGACTGTGGGGGTGTTTTTTTTTTTTTTTGCCTTTTAATACATTGTGTATAGTTTTGTTCAAAGGCAAACACTTTGTTCTGGGTAAAAGGACTTTTGGTAATGTGGTGGTGGTGGGAGGGGAAGAGTTTTATAGTCCTATGATTAGGTTTCAGTCTTTTAGTGAGACTGTGACTTTCACTATTGCCTCTCAGATTTTGTTTTATTTTCTGTTTGTATCCCCCTGGGTTGTATCCCCCTTGGATGGCTAGAGGGGACTTAAGTTGGGTATTTCTCTTCTCCCAGGTGGGTTGGGCATTGATGAAACCCCCATAGGTTAGTCTCTGATAAAACAGTTTCTCTTGAGGACAGGTCTTGTTAAGGACAGAATGCTCTGGTGTATTTCACTGTGGTTACCCCCCCCCCCACCCCCCACCCCCCAAGGCTCCTGGAGGTAAAAACTCACAAAAGTGTGTTCCCCTCACACCATGACTGGGCTCCCTCTGGAGTTTTTAACTCTCAGACTTGTCCACATTGAGCCTTCAGCCAACTTACAATTATAATTTTGGTTTTCCTGTCCTGGGGCTGGTTCCCACAGAGGTTTCTGCTCTGTTATGATTCTCTGTATGCACCAGTCTGTCTCCAGTTTTGGGGGCAGTAATTTGCCCTGTGGCCTCACTTCTTTGGTGGAACTAAGAGTTGTCAGTTTTTCAGTTCAGCATTTTATTTGTTGTTAGGATGGAATGATGATGCTGGACCAGGATTTGGAAAGTTCTGGGATATTATTTTTGAGCTTTAAATTTCCAAGGCTGCTTACTTCATAAAACTGATTAAGATTTTAATGGAGAAATTCTGGTCCCAAGATTAATTAAAAATCATAGTTAGATGTATAATAAAGCTTTCCTTTCATTTATTTAAAGAAACAACAGCTTCATGAAAAGTAGTACCTTTATTGAAAGTAAACTAAAAAGAACCAAAAAGGAGTAATAATCTAAAACATACATCTATTGCCCTAGAATAGCCATTTCTTTGGGACTAGGGCAAGCCATTTCCCAAGTAAGGGATATAAACAGTATGATTAAAAGTGATGAGACGGATTTCAGCGTGTGGTTGAGAGTTTAAATTTCTTATTTAAATTAACTTGTACACACTGTGAAATTGGTGAATTAAGTATGACTTGTAGAGAACATGCAGTTCTATTTCTTTCTATTATCCAGAGAACATACTGTTTTAAGGGTTTCTTTAGTGTGAATGTGGGGGGTGGGGGAGGGAGAGGGAGAGAGAGAGAGAGAGTTAGAGAGAGAGAGAGAGAGACAAAGAAAGACAGAGGAAGTGAAAGAGAGTACAAGACTATAACCCCCAAGATAGAAACATAGAAGCTCCTTTTCCTATAAATTTCTCTAAAATTGCAAAATCAAAAGTGAAAGAAAACAAAGAAGGAACTGGGTTATGGATCTAAGTAAGCTTGTAGTTTCAGTACTCTTGTTATCCTCAGTTCATGAGCAAGCTGCAGTCCTCAACTTCAATGGAAAGTCTCTGGTGATCAACACATTTTTCTCTCTTCCAGCCCTGGCCCTACTCTAACAACTGTTCTATAGAAACTGCCCACTAATTGGGGTCATGGGAACATGCATGTAAGACCTATGCATGGAATTACATTTATGGAGGAGTCCAATCAGTCCAAAACTGACACTGGCAGATGTTATAGTTTAGTTTAGATTCAGAGCCTTAAAAATGCTGATGTTAATTGAAAAGCAACATTTACTAAATGAAAAACTAATTAATTAAATTTGCTTTCCAACGTTTAAAGTTAGCAAGCAGCAAATATGCAAATAGAAGTTTAAAATAAAACTTCAATTGCTTATCCTTCATCATATTTTAAAATAATTTTTGTTCTCTATAGGCTCTGTACTTCTAGAAGTCAAAATGTCTTTAAGTTTAGTCATATAGAATATCTAGAAAAAAATTTAAGAAAATTGCATACATATTTAGTAACGACATACTTTAAAATTTTAGTGGGAAAGCAAATTTTATACAACTCATTACAAGGCAGCAGTTGTTTTAAAACCGGGAGCCTAATTTAATAAGAACATTAATGTCACCAGAAGTATAATGTTCCCTCCAGCTACCTTAAAAATAAATGTGAAAAGTAGAGGTTTTACATAAAAATCTTTAATCAGTGCTGTTTCTAATCCCCAGAATTTAACATAAAAAAGACACAAAAATCATTAAAATATAGATCTGTTTAGCAATTATTATTTTGGACATTTTGACAGATTCAATGAAACATTTCCTTTTGTCCACATATTGCTTGTAATAGAACTGATCACCTAAGTATATACTGGGAGTGCCAAAAAAATGTATACAAGTGGACACGTTGGTCAACCTTGCTCAAGCAGCAGTTTGCCGTACTCAGAAGTGTCTGGACGCTGATAGTAACCACTATGAGCACCTCTTGTAATTACAGAAGTCAAACATGACTTGTATTCCTCATTTGTTATCGGTACATGTTGAGTATTACAATTTTAATAGTTTTTTCCTTTCTTAAAATGGGTATACATTTTTTTGGCACCCTCTGTAGAATAAGCAGTGGCTTTGCTGGCTTGTGGTTTAATATTTATCAAATGTATTTCTCATTTTCTCTCCACTTACATTTCTTATTTCACATACCATTTGTAATAATTTTATTCAATGTTCCTTGTGGAGGACAAGAACTCTTTTCCAACTGTGGTTTTGTTGCCTCTGTTTCTGAGAAGACATTCTCCTTAGTTTCTTCATGTTCACTAGTATTACTATCTTTGAGGATCTGAAGTAAAATAAAGACATCTTTTAAGAAATATAGTTTCCATTCAATTTTATGAACATTAAACTTATATTATTACTGTCAACATAGAGACTTGCACATACAAAAGTATATTCGTGCTCTATGTCAATATGTGATATTGACATATGAGTATGGGGATGGCACAGCCGTGCACTTTGCAGGGCACCTTGACTTAGCTTTTTATAGACCTGACTCCCTGCCATTTTCATTTGTGATTCATATGTATACTAAAGAAGTGAGACCATGGTGTGGGTAGAATAATTAAAAGTGTCTCTCCTCAGTTTAACTCCCAAAGGTTACTCAACAAAACTTCTGTGGAATGAAAATACAACTAAATTGGAAAGAAGGTAAAATATAACTTATCATGGACTCATTTGAAAAGTTATGTATCTGAAAGAAAAAGGAGAAAAACATATCAAGCCTTCAGAAGTTCAAGGTTCATGCTTCCACTATTATTTATAGATAACATATTTAGATCTTCCAGGCTTTTAATGGTAGTTAGTCTAAATATGAAACTGTTGATTTAGGGGGGAAAAAGTGTTTCTGAGACTACCGAGAAGCTCCTCCCAAAAAGGCTAGAGAGCCCGGACAGAGTAAGGAAGGGGAAGGAAACAATGACTGGGGAGACAGGCACCACGCAGCTAATGTAAACGAATTACGTAGTTCTTTAAGATCAAAGTTCCTTAAACCTGATCATGGTTACTCTGTGGGAGTTCTGGTGTAGAGACTTTTAGAAAGTCTGTCACTGTACAGAAGGGCCAAGGTTAAGACACAAAGGTGAGTTTTGATTAGGGTGGCTGAAAGGTCATATACAGTAAAACTGTATTATTTTAAGTTTCATTATTTCAGAATTTATAATAAATTGACATAGATGAGGATGACGTCTTTACAGATAAAAACAGTAATCAGAATTAGTGGTGAATATTTTAAATATTTAAAAGAAATTTTTAACCCTGAAGAACTGTAGAAGCCTCTATTTAAAAATTTTTTTTAAAAAACCCCTATAATTCTAATATGAACAATTATTATTTAGTAAAACTGGACCAATGAAGTGTCTAGTTCCTTACTCTATACACTTGCAAAAATAAAACTTGGGTCTCTTCAAATACATAGCACAACATTTTAATTAGTTTAGATTTGTCTTTACCTCTTGTAGTCTAAATTACTGAGTTTTTCCTGGACATGGCAAGAAATAATAAGCCATATTTCCATTACTCCTAAAGTATGCCCTTTTTATCTCCAAAATATTCTGTAGTCACCCTTTTCTATCTTTTCATTCCTTTTGATAATTTCTTAGGACCTATTAAAATTAGCTATTATTTATTTATTTTAAATTGGGGAATTGGGTAGGGGGACCAGCCAAGTTGTTGTTCTTTAATCTTCGCTGTGGAGGGCGCCAGTCGCCATCTGGCTGCCTGTCGGCAGCTTGTGGCCTCTAAACTCAACATGCTGTGTTACAATCTTAGCTGTGGGTGGGCGTAGCCACCATCCCATGAGGGAGTTGAAACAGCAGCCTTGTTGTTTGGAGCACACGCTCTAGCCACTGAGCCATCCGGACGGCATAAAATTAGCTATTTTAAAATAACTACTTCTCATTTTTTAACCAGATATATTTAAAAAAACCTAATAAGTAAATTTGGAAATAAATTTTAAGAACAGATTGATTTTTGTGTCATATATTACAATATAGTTTAAGTTTTTACCTGAGGAGTTGTAGATGATTGGATGTTTTTATCCTCCAAATCTTCATTGTTTTCTTCTGTAATGTACATGCTAATATTTGAAAGAAAAATTATTTGAAAGAAAAAACAGGACTATGAATCCATCTGAAAACAAACATGGTTAAGTGGGATTAATTTCTGAATGACTTTTTAAATCATAAAGTTGTATCATAGTCAAGTTAGATATCTTTATAATCAAAACAGTTCCAGTATTCATTTTAGAGTTATTAACCAAAGTTGGGTGCATAAGCTTAAAAAAGCATATATTAGAAAGCTCAGCTCTTTATTTTATGCTTGAAATAATTTCCACCATTGATTTAGTCTGTCTTCAGTCACACTCCTGCACAACAGACTCTAAGAAACTTAAAATGAAATATGATCAGCTACATTAATACTTACATCTATAAGTTATTAATACATGCTGTCTTTATATATGGGTCCATTTGAAAGGGCTGTAAGGCCAACATTTAAACAAAACAAAATAGGTTATATTGTGAAGAAGAATGAACTAGAAAATAAAAGAATGAACTAGAACCAATCACAAGAAGAATAAGATCTGAAAACTTATTTTAAAATATCTGTTGTTTCTACCATCTCTGGGATCTTTGCTGCTTTTGAATGTCGGGAGAGTGTCTTTGCCTTTAAAATATTTTTCAGTTCTTGAGTTGTGGACAAAAAATTGTTCAGGACAAAATGCAGTATTTCATGTTTTAATTTTTAGGTGTTCAATAAAGACCAATTCCCCTAGTGTATTTATACTTTTTTTTAAAGGCAAGCAATTTTAATAATAAAAATTTTTAATGAAAAGGAACATTAACATTTGAGTACCTACTATACTCTAGGGGCTTTACATATACTGTCTCACTTTAATGAAGGAGAATATTAGTGGATAAACTCCTATATAGGATCATAACTGAACTTAGGACATTAAACAGAAAATAGCATTTATTTTTTAAATTTGATGAAAAAAACCTAGATGTCCAAGTCCCTTTGGAGCAAAATTCCATTTTGAAGGGACTATCAAAATGATTACCTTGTTCTTAGAATGACTACCTGTCACTAGCTGTTAGACCAGAAGCTAAGTGTTTGTAAGCTCTATGAACAAGGAATGTGGGTGAATCACCCAAGCTGCATCAAAGGACAGGCCAAGGGTTAGTACCACTAGAAAGTTGAAATTGAGTGCACATGAGTCGTGAGGTCAGGGCACAAAGTTCATCCAGTCAATAATGTTTTAATGTCTACTCTTCTGGGATCTGAAGATGAATCACAAACAAAACAAAACAGAAACGTAGGCTTCTGTTCTCATGGAGCTTATATAGTAAAACCTTGGATTGCGAGTAATTTGGTTTGCGAGTGTTCTGCAAGACGAGCAAACATTTCTTTTAGGTTGGTGCTAAAGTAATTGCGGTTTTTGCCATGACTTGTAACAATACATTTTAACTTGGTAAACAGGTAATGTTTTGCAATGTGAGTAGTTTGTTTCTGAAGTGAATTATGCTCACAAAACGAGGTATTACTGTATTCTTATTGGGGGTAAGGGAAAGACAAACAATTTTCAGATTGTGATTAAGTACTGAAGAAAATAAAACAGGATGATGTGATAGTGATCGACGTGACATTTGAACTGTGACCTGAATGAGGAGAAACGGTGAGTCATAATTAGGCTGATGGACTAGGATCGGGCAAACATAACACCAAGAGTCATACAGAGACGTCAAGAAACCAGGCAGTATATTTTAAGATCTGCAATTATGTCATGATTAGGACAGCAGGACTTGGAATCCAAGCAAGCACGCCATGCATTAGAGCTTCAAAACCTAAATAAGGAGTCTGAATAATAAACGTACAGGTTAGCAGCTATAATAGAAGCTTGATACTGTGATAAGCAATATTTGTACCTGGCAATTACTCAATACTCTCTTTACATACCTGCCAAGAATGGAATTGGTAGGTGGTATGCACAGTAATTAAAAGCAAGGACTTTGGAGCTGAGATAGAAATGTATTTCACTCTCCCCTTTATCTTTTAATAACTGTGAGAACTGATTTATCTCCCTAGGTCTCAATTTCCTTATCTGTGAAATGATACAATATTACTTAACTTATTGGTTATTGGTGAGAATTAAATGATATAACAGCTGTCACAGTTGGATTATGTTAAGCATTTAACATGAATCATCTCATTCGAATCTCATGACTCTGAGTTATTTACTATCATTATCCTCATTTTACACATGTTGAAAATGAGACAGAGGAAGGTTAAGTAATTTCCCCAAAGTCACACAGCTAGCAAGTAGCATACCTAGAATTTGAACGAAGCACTCATTAATATTAGTCAAATCCTTGTTAACCTCGGTATCATTGTTTTTTTCCTTTTAGTTATTCTGGTGATACTGCATTGTGGATGTAAGTTGCATTGTCTTAATGACTAATATATCTTCATATAATTACCGGCCATTTGAATATCTTCTTTAGTAAAGTGTCTGTTCAAATCTCTTGCCCATTTTTAAAAATGAAAGTAGAACTGCTGGATCATTTGGCAATTCTATGTTTAACTTTTGAGGAACTGCCATTCTGTTTTCCGCAGTGACTATGCCATTTTATAATCACACCAGCAATGCAGAAGGGTTCCTATTTCTCCATGGTAATTTTCTGTTATTCTGTTTTTTGATAATAGCCATCCTAATGGGAGTGACATGGTATCTCACTGCGGTTTTGATTTGCATTTCCCTACTGATTAGTGATATTGAGCATCTTTTCATTTGCTTATTCGCAAATGAAATATCTTCTTTGTGGAAATGCCTATTCAAGTCCTTTGTCCATTTTTAAATTGGGTTATTTGTTTTCTGTTGTTGAGTTGTAAGAGTTCTTTTTATATCCTGGATATTAATCACTTATCTGATAAACGACTTACAAATATTTGCTCTCATTCTGTGGGTTGCATGTTCACTAATTCCTCAATGTTCTGTAGTTAAGGTTCTGCTCCTTTCACTCCACAAATTATTCTAGCGAAGGTCATAAATAACCTCCAATTGATCACATGACACAATGAAGCATTTTTCTTTTGTCTCATGTTAAACTACTCTTTCATTTCTGCCGCCCTGTCCCTTCTCCCACCACCTTTCTTATTCCTTTCTGTCTCCTCTCTAGCCTCATCTTTCTCAACTGCTCAAAGTTGAAAGTCCTGAAGGTTCCATCCCTCGATCCTCCACTAGTTCACTGGTTGAGTGCCCCAGTGTTCCTCACCGGCTTTAGGATAAAGACAAAAATATTTAACATGACTGTCTTAGTTCAGAATACTATAACAAAGTACCATAACTGGGTGGTTTACAACAGAAATTTATTCCCACAGTTCTGAAGGCTGGATGTCCAAGATCAGGGTCCCAGCATGGCTGGGTTCTGGTGAAGGCTCTCTTCCAGGTTGCAGACTGCCGACTTCTCGTATCCTCACATGGCAAAAAAAGAGCTAGAGAGCCCTTTAGGGTTCCTTTTACAAGGGTACAAATCCCTTTATAATGACTCTACCCTCATGACCTAATTACTTCCCAAAGGCCCCACCCTCTACGACCATCTCATTGGGGGTTAAAATTTTGGGGGTAAACATTTAGTCCACCACAATGACCTATAATATCCTGCACAATATGGCCCTTGGCTCCCTCTCTAGCCTAATTTCATACCATTCCCCATCCATTTTTATCACTCCTAGCCACTCTGACGTTCATTCAGTTCCTTGAAATTGCCAGGTTTATTCTGCACGGGATTAACACTTGCTTTTCCTTCTAAATGAAACACTCCCCACCACCAATCTCCCCTTCATTTGGTTAACTCCTTTTTATCCCTCAGTTCAAGGACCATATCTTTAGAGAAATACTTATGACACCATGTCTGCCCCTAAGCTCAGTCAGGTACAATTTTTTTTTTTTTTTAGCTGAGGCATCCTGCCACTTGTTGGCAGCTCAGCGGCAGCTCAGCTCAGGCTGGACTTGAACTGCTGTTGCTCAGAGCTCGCACTCTTGAGCGAGCTCTTAACCAACTGAGCTACTCGGCTGGCCCTAGGTACAGTTTTTATATGCTCCTATAGAATATTGAACCTTTTCTTCAGAACATTATCTGTTTGTACTACATATTCATCAGAGTCATTGTTTAATGTGTTTGCCTCATTAGGCTGTAGACTCCATAATAGTATCGCACAGGTCCTTGAGGCTCTGTTCATTTATTTTCTTTTTCGATCTTTTTTTTTACTCTGTTCTTCAGGTTGGACAATTTCTACTTATCTATCATCAAGTTCATTGATTCTTTCCTCATTCATTTCCATTCTGCTATTGAGTCCATCCAGTGAATTTTTTATTTCAGATATATATATATATATATATATATATATATATATATGTATATATATATAAAATTTCTTTCTTTTTTTTAGATTTTTTTTTATTGGGGAATTGGGGAAGGGAACAGCGTTGGGGAACTGGTGAAGGGGAACAGCCAAGTTGTCCTTCAATTCTAGTTGTGGAGGGCGCAGCTAGCTCAGCTCCAAGTCCAGTCATCATCCGGCTGCCGGTCGGCAGTTCAGGGCAGCTCTGCTCAAGGTGCCGTGTTCAATCTTAGTTGCGGGTTGGCATAGCCCACCATCCCATGTGGGAGTCAAAGCGTCTACCTTATTGTTAGGAGCACATGCTCTCATCAGCTGAGCTATCTTGCCACCTGTTGGCAGCTCAGCAGTAGCTCAGCTCAAGCGTAGCTCACTGGCTCATGTGAGAATCGAACCGGCGATGCTGTTGCTCAGGGTCTTAGCCAACTGAGCCACTCGGCTGGCCTCTATTTCATATATTTTTAATTCAAAAATTTTTACTTGCTTCTCTTAAACTGTTTTTTTTCTGTTGTGAATAAGTATCTTCCCACTCATTAAACTATGCTTGTCTTTATCACATGAAACATAGTTATAATGGCTCCTTTAACATCTTTGTCTGATTAATTCCAACATCTGTGTCATTTTGTGTTGATATCTGTTGATTTTCTTTTCCCCTAAGACAATCATTCCCTGGTTCTTTGTAGGTCAAGTACTTCTTGAGTATATACTGGATGTTCTGTTGTATAGGCTCTAGGTTCTGTTAAAATCC